GACTCACTCTTGCTTGTCTCCTCCCCACTGGTCCAAGGCTCAGGCACCTCCTGGTGGCCAACCAGCCTCTCTGTGCCCTGCTCAGAGTCGGAACGCTGTTCAGGGTCCTCCACATCCTCCAGAGCCAACTCATAGGACCCCTCGCTGTCGGAGTCTGGTGGCAGCTCCAACGGATCCTGCTGGGCCACAACAGACAACTATTTTGGGGGGATGATTTATGGACCCTTAATTGTACAGGGGCATGGATCAGAACAGGGGTCACAACCTTTCGGACCTCAGGGACCAATAAATTCATAATTTTAAATCCCGCAGACCACTAATATGACCTGCCTAATGACCATCTGGATGGACGTGGCAAGGTGGTCATGTGCCTGGGTGGGCATGGCCAATGTGATGTCACTCATGTCGAGGGGCACCTTGCCAGCCTCTACTCGCCACTCCTCACCTGCTTACCCAGGCTCCTTAGGGCCTCAACAGGAAGCAGTTGCTGGAGCTAAGCAGCCATGCAAATGCAAATAATTTTTCTGCAGATACCACAATTTTCTCACGGACCACCAGTTGGTGGCCTCCAAGGTCCCTCCCAACTCTACAATTCTATGACCAATGGGAAAGTTTAGGTGAAGTCTCAAAATACATGATGTGGGCCTGTGTGTAAGAAAGAGAGGAGGCCCATCTCCAAACAATTGTGAGCAGTCTATGGCATTCTAGATCTATAACCTCTGGACCTGTCTTCCTAGAGTTGCTAGAAGTTTGGCTATGAAAAAATGCTTCTTCTTTATTCTCCTCCAGTCCCTGATGGATGATGGCAAGCGGGAAGTGGCTGTCAGCACCTTTCTCTTAATTCCAAGCAGCCGAGACATGAGCAGCACCTTCACCTGTCGTGTCAGCAACCCGGCAGCCCCGGCTGGCAAACAGACTTCGGTCACCCTTAATGTTCAGTGTGAGTATCCCAGACAGGAGGGACGGATGAAGGGTGGGATGAGTTAGAGATACCTGCGCTTGGGTTTGTGGCCAAGGAATGGCCCAGGTAGACCACTGAGTTTGGAAGGATTCTTAATAGCAATAGCACTTAGACTTGTACACTGCTTCACGGTGCTGTACAGCCCTCTCTAAGGAGTTTACAGAGTCAGCCTCTTGTCCCCAACAATCTGGCTTCTCATTTGACCGACCTGAGAAAGATGGAAGGCTGAGTCAACCTTGAGCCTGGTGAGATTCGAACTGTCAAATTGCAGGCAGCCGGCACTCAGCAGAAGTGCTGAGAAGGCTGCAGTACTGCACTCTAGCCACTGTGCCACCGTGGCTCATAATGTAATGATTCGCTGAAGACAACCAAGCTAATCCCGAGCCACAGATGTATTTATTACATTTGTGTCCTGCCCCTTTCTCCCCCCCCCCAGTAATTGCAGGAAACCTTCACGGAGTATCGTTCTCCCTATCGCTAACCAAAGATCAAGAGTGTCAATCCAAGATCTGGACTAAGGTCATCTAGGAGGTGACTTATACAAATGAATTCCCAGATTATAATTTTCTTTGTGAAGGGGGAACATTCTTTTACCACAAGTGACCTGGAAACTCTTAAGTGAAGAAGGCGTTGAGAATGCTTAACTCTGAGAAGAAACGCACAAATACAATAGCATTCTTCGGATACCAGAAAGAATGCTCGAGATGTTGTCTCTCATTTCTAAAGTGCAGGACAGGAAAAAATAATAATAACTTGAATTATGGGATGTGCAGATTCTCTGTCTGAATGTTAGGAAAAGCTTCCGAGGTGCAAGAGCCGTTTAGTAATGGAGCCAGTGATCTGGGGGTGGAGTAGGTGGATCTTCCTCGGAAGTGGTGCAAGGAGAGAAGGACAGCCTGTCTGAATGCTTTAATTTGGATTCCTCTACTGAACTGTGGGGTTGGACCAGGGGTGAAATGCTACTGGTTCGGACCGGTTCACCCGAACCAGTAGTAAAAAAAATTGCTACCGGTTCAGGCAAACTGGTAGCTTCGACGATCAGCTGTGCAACATTCAGCTGTGCCATGCAATTAGAAATCGCACAGCACAGCTGATTGTCAGAACTACCGGTTTGCTTGAACCGGTAGCATTTTTTTACTACCGGTTCGGGCGAATGGCACAATGGCCACATGAAGCAAACCAGTAGCAAAGCGAACCGGTAGCAAACTTCAGAGCATTTCGCCCCTGGGTTGGACCTGAAGGTTAAAAGTAATTTCTTCCAATTTTAGGATTCTGTACAATTTTATACATATGAGCTTGCCTATAGGAGCTGACCTCAGCATTCTAAGACTCTTTATTAGAAGCCCTGAGCACAAAGGAACACCGCCAAACAATTAAGTTGGAGACAAATATTTAATGCAACAGGTCCGGAAAACCAGATAGCTGATCCTTGAGAGAAGGCCAGGAAACCTAAAGCAGCGATGAACTGGGATTGTAGCTCCCTGGTTTTGGAGTAGCCTCCAAGAAGATCTAATTCTACTTAGATCAGGGGTGTCAAACTCTAGGCCCGGGGGCCAGATCTGGCCCACGGGGTGCTTAGATCTGGCCTATGGGGCCACCCTGGAAACGGGCAAAGGACCGGCCTGCGGTGCCTCTGCCAATGAAAGTGGAGCTCTGGAGGGCCGCCCACGGCCCTCCCAAGTTCTGTTCCGCTGACGGGGTTGCAAGAGGCCATTGCAGCTGAAAATGGAGCTCGGGGGCCCGTTTTCGTTGGCAGAGCGCTCGGGCCACTACAGGCATCCCTGACACACATGACATCGAGCTGGCCATGTCCACCCTGGCCCTCAAACACAACCCTGATGCGGCCCTTAATGAAATCGAGTTTGACACTCCTGACTTAGATGGAGCAGCTAACGCTCAAGACAGAGAGCGAGGGATCCAATTAGATCTGCAAAGAGGCAGCGTGGGAGCCACGTCGCTGCTGGCAGAGCTAGGCAGCACATCCCATAATAGTTTGCAGAATTGGTTTCCAAAACTTGCTTGATGAAGATTAGGGCGTGAGAGAATTGTGATGCTAATGATCTTTGTGGGGGCGGGGGTCACCGTATTGTATTATGTACAAAACTAGGTATATAGCTGTCAGCGTTCCATCTACCTGCTCAACCCAAATGGGACAGGCTAGAGGTCTGGTGCGTATGCCTAGTTGTTTTACAATTAACATGCTGATTAAGCATCGAGTGCAACCGGTGTCCACAACTGCTTCAACTTCCCCTTCCACCCCCGTTTCGGGTACTTGGAGCTTGGCTTGGAAGGCGAAGGGACAGATGGGTGCACTCACCATTGGGTCATCTTCCTCCTCCGAGGCCTCCCCATTGGTAAGACCCTTCGTCACCTTATTCTACAGATGTACCAACGTGTCTCTCTTATTAAATTGGGACTTTGATGAAAACTACGCCTTGAACTCTGATTTAATTCTGGATGATGTTTGGAACGCCGACAATAGCATTGTCCTATGAGAAACTGTACAATGGAAAAATAAAACAATTGGGATTTTTTTTCCCCGTCCCTCTTCTCCACCTTACAGATCCACCCGTCGTGATCCTGGCAGTCCAGCCACAAACTGTGCCTGAGGGTGGCAAAGTGGGTTTCCTCTGCACCGCAACGTCCAATCCTGAAGTGACAGGTTACCGGTAAGAATTAGAATACGATGAAGCTGCAGACGCTAGAGTTCAAATAGAGCAATTGTGTGGTGGTGGTGCCTCCTAATGGTCACGTGGAGGATTGCATGCTCAGTTATATACAGATGAAGTCCTTGCTTACTGACCGCAATTGGGTTCTGCACCTCTTTTATTGCTAAGTGACATAGTTGTAAAATGAAACATCAGGTGACTTCACCAGACTTAGAATCGTCAGTTCCAGCACTCCAGTCAGCAACCAACACCCCCCCCCAGTTGTTTAGCATGATGTCATGTGATTGTGACTCCTGACTTCCTACTGGCTTCCCCATTGAATTTGTCAGAAGCTGGCTGTGAAGGGCACAAATGATCATCATGGGATGGTGTAACTCGGGTGGTATTCACAAAAGTGAGTGCATGCGCCCCGTCGACACAAGTGTACGGCCGTCCGCACATGCACTTTGCTCACATGTGTGGCTTGCATGCATGCACGCGGCTTGAAAACGTGCCTAAATAAGACAACATAGAGCCGGGGCAGGGCGGGAAAGGCCCACCCACGAGTTCCACTACCGGCTCAGGTGAACCGGTCCGAACCGGCTGAATACCACCTCTGGTGTAACTAATAAATGTGTGCTGGTTGCCGAGCACCGAAATCACTGAACTAACAGTTGATAAGTGAGGACTATCTCTACTGACCGGCTGATATGTAAAAATTAGCTATGCAAGAATTAGCTATCATGGATCAGTTCAAAAGTGACACGACCGTTTTTCTCCAAAAATAAGACAGGGTCTTATTTTCTTTTGACCTCCCCAATCTTCTCACTGTCTAACTCTGCTGCTGGCGGGGCCACAACAGATGCTTTCTTGACCTCCATTCTTTTGTGGACTGAGACATTGATTGTCAGACCCTTGTCTAATCTGTGGCTCTTCCTCCTACTCCCAAGTTATTCTCACAGCCTTGTTGCAGTACCCATGACCCCAACCCAGTCTTAAGAGTATAACATGTTGAGTCAAAGTCTCCTAAGACTGTATCTCCCTTGACAGGTGGGCTAAAGGAGGCGTCCCCATCCCAGAGGCCAACGGTGACAGCTACGAAGCCACAGTTGACCAGTCTTTCTTCACAGAGCCTGTGTCCTGCGAAGTGTCCAATGCTGTGGGCAGCACCAATGTTAGCACTCTGGTGGACGTCCATTGTGAGTCAAAACTTTCAAGAAGGAATTAAGAAGATTGGGGGTTTCAGCAAGCATTTTTTTCTAGCATTTATGAGCCACGGTGGCGCAGTGGCTAGAGTGGTGTACTGCAGGCTACTTCTGCTCACTGCCGGCTGCCTGCAATTTGGCAGTTCGAATCTCAGCAGGCTCAAGGTTGACTCAGCCTTCCATCCTTCCGAGGTGGGTCAAATGAGGACCCAGATTGTTGGGGGCAGCAACTGCTTGTAAGCCACTTAGAGAGGGCTGGAAAGCACTGTGAAGCGGTATATAAGTCTAAGTGCTAAGTTGCTCACCTGCTGAG